AAGAAAGAAAGAAAGAAAGAAAGAAAGAAAGAAAGAAAGAAAGAAAGAAAGAAAGAAAGAAAATTTAGGACCTGACAAAAATTTGGCCAACAATTCCACTAAAATGATCACTGAATAAAAGTTCTCCTTATTCAAATCTTCTTTCATAAGTCATTTAATTGCTGTTGAGTATTAAAAGTCTTCAAATAACTTAAGGAATTTCATGTATTTATTATAGTCAATACAGAATTTTCAAATAAAATTTATGATGTCATATTTACACATGCCAGGAGAATTATAATATTTAAAAATCTAAACAAAGTCGAAGCCTTTAACTTGGTTTTCTAAAGGTAGAGCAGTAACGTATTCAAGAGCTCACTTGATACGTACAAGTCAAGAAAATGTAATTCTTTAAAATTTTTCTCAACGACTTGATTACGCCACCCAGACAGCACTCAAAGGAGGCCCCAAAGATAAGACAGCCAGAAAAGCTTTTTTTTTGTAAATACACCTTCTTCCATGTTTACCACAATCTTAGGTTGCACTAACTCTGGGAATAAGTTGGGAGAGATCCTAGACCCATTTTGCAGACAAGCAAACTGAGGCACAGAGGTGTATGAGGTAAGAACTGCTCTTAGTCACGGTTTGTCCCTGCACCTCCTCGGTGACTCTGAGCCTTGCTCAATCCCATTTGCTTAGGGAGAGGCGAGCTTGCCACAGAAGAGAATGGTGTTGGTATCAAGGTGCCTTATGAAGAACAGGAAGGGGCGGTTCGCCATGAACTTGGCTCGAATGGGGAGTCTTTTTAAGACAAGGTTGTCCCCAGTGGCTGCCGCTGCCTCAGTGCCCTCTTCGTTGACATCCACATATGACTTGTGGATGACCTTTGACAAATGCAGGCCCTTGTCTGGTGATATTCCAGAAAGGTCGGCTTTGACCTGGTTGAAGACATCTGTCATCCCGAGGGACTTTAGCAGGGAATTCAGCTCATACTTGATTTCCAGTTTGAATCGGGGCAGGTGAACCTCGACCTCACTCTCCACCATGTTGGAAGAGCTGGTCCACTTATGAAACGTCTTCACACTCAGTTGCTTCTCTACCTAAGATAAGACACAGAACACGGATGGGCCTACGTGAGCCAAACGCTTGACCTCTGCATTAAACGCTGTTTGCTTTATAATTCTCCATGCAAATGATTCAATTTCACAGGTTACTTTTCTTCCTTTAAACTGAACTCAAGTTCTAGCTAAAAAAAAAAAAAAAAACACACATCTTCCCTTTTCTCATGCCTACTTCTCATCAATATTTTCATAATTAAACTTCTCCAACATGTATTCTAGTCTTTTGCCTTAATTCCCTGAGCTTGCGGACTTCACCTAAGTTCCCTCTATTACCTGTGCAAGCTTTGTGCTCCCGTTTCCTGGTCAAACTCAACCATTTTAGCTTGGTCTTCATATCTGAAATGTTTAATCACATTCCCCTTTACGGACTTACTGCCCCTTTGGCTCCTATGGCGCCAAGATGTCCTTGTCCCACTCTTCCATAGTCCCCTCGTGTCCCTACTCCTCAAGCTGAACTCTGGATGCCCTACATTCAACGCCCACATCTGGACTCAGATCTCCCAAAGCAGCCTCTTGACCCCGACTTCTCAACTCTCCACTCAGTTCCAAGAGTTTTGTCAACTCTTCAAACTTCTGTCCTTAGTTATTTGAGACTCTCTACAGCCCTCCCCAACTGACACGTCAAACTCCAGCATCCTTCCGCTACCACACTCGAAAACTTTTTGTCACTTTCTCATCATCCTGACAATATAAAATCAGACATGAAGCAAAGGTGGTATCTCTTCCTAAGTATCTTTTCCTTTTGTCCTTTTTGGCCCTAATCCAAGTTACCAGGACTTTACGACACAAAGCCATCTCATTGCCTCATCCTTCTGGGGCATTTGCACATGCTCCTTGCTCTGGCTAGAAAACCTGTGTGTGTGCATGTGCGTGTGTGTGTGCGTGTGTGTGTGCGTGCGTGTGTGTGTGTGTGTGTGTGCGGTGCTTGTGTGCACATGTATGCATGCTTTCACTGCATATTAGCATCTCGTAACTTTACCTGCTCTAGAGCCGCTGTGCCTGCTGGAAGCAGAATAATCATGCTTAGTTTTTTGTGCACGTAGGGCAGCTCGAGAACTTGCATCTGCGGCTCCTTTATGAAGGCCAGCTTAAATGTTCCGGTTTGATACATCATTTCCACAGTTACGCTTTTACCCTATTTTTTAAAAAAAGACTGTAATTAGATGGTAGTGACATATGTGAGTGCACACATTATGTGGACTGATTTTCTTACCTAACATAAATATCTGCATTATCACTCTAAAGGCATGGGTAAGATATAAACTCCAAAATACACCCTTTATTCCTTTCCTTTGCGAGGGTTATGTCTTTTGTTTTTTGTTTTTTTATTTCAAAAGAAGTCCTTGTTCGAGCCTGAATATTTCAAATGATATATATAGTAATAAAAACAATAATATGCATGTTTCCCAAAAACAAAGCCAGGGATTCCAGGGAAAAGGAGTTATGTGAGAAAATGATATCACAGAATCATTTCCTTTTTAAATTCAATCAGAGATTCTGTGGAAGAAAAATAATAGTTTTGTTGAACCACAGCTTATATGAGAAGAATGCACAGATAGGAAACCAGTAAGGGAAAAAAACAGGCTTTCTTCTCTTCCAGGGCATTCCACTAAGGTGTCCTGTGAAAAAGGTCACTGTCACTTCATAAGGAAAAATAAAAATAAAATTTATAGAAGACACAATTAAAGAAACCTATGGCAATCTAGAACAGTATTTTTACTAAAACTTTCCAAATTGTCCTTAAGTATTGCAGTCTCTAAAACTCATCATCTATCTGAAAATGAAATACATACCTCACTTAGCTGAAAAGGGGTTTTGATTGTCTCTTTTTCTTGAAACTTATTTTGCCATTGTCCTTTGAAGTAAATGGCATTCACCAGGACCATTACACAAGAAGGGTCGATTGTGCCCTTTCCAAAGAGGTCTGTGATCTTTCCTTGTCATAAAAAATAAAAAGCAGGTAATGTATTTGGATTTGAACTTATTGATGATAGACAGTTGAGTAGGTGCAAGAAATTTAGAACTATTCTTTTTTAAGGATAATTATAAATTTGAAATGCCAAAAGAACTGCTTTATCTCTTGGCCATAAAGTCTGTCCCTATCAAATGAAGTTTATTTAGAAAAACATTGAGTGCTTTGTTATTTCTAATCAGAAGATGGCGTGTAGCGAGTACATAGCATATCAGCTATGGATCGATTTGTCTTATATCTAGTTATACTCAATGCTTTCTTATGCATTACTGATTCTCTAGAAAATTCTTTAATACATTCTTATAGTTTACCTTTAATATTTATCAGTATTTATACTTACCAGCACCTCACCACATGCAAATACGTTAAGTATTCAAAAGATTCACTCATTCTTTCAATGTACTAACATTAGTGTATCATAAGCAAATACCAATACTTGAAGTAAATATGTATCTGAAAATCAAAATCTACAAAATATACCAGCAGTTGCTTGCTTTAAAAAATACACTGATCAGAATTGAACAGTAATCCCTCAGTGCATTTTGGTTCACTGCAATTTATAAAACCTTTTTTGGAATATAATTGTCATATAATGCGCAGGATATCTGGAACATCAGACTCTAAACTAGCTGAGAGTTTTAATTGTCACTGAACTTCTGGGTCTAATACAATACCCGGTAAGTGATAGCAGTCACCAACATTAAGTGCTCAGTATGTGTATCTTGAATAAATGGATAAATATATATAAATGAATGATTAAATAAAAGTAATATGCTAAATAAATATACAGCATGTGGATCCCTAATGTACACCCATGGCAGACAACACCAATCAATCTACTCTTTTATGCTAAAAATGTTTTAAGAGACTTCTATATGCCAAGCACTGTTCTAGGCACCACAGCACTAACCTGAGGCTGAAACTCTAAACTAAACAGACAAAAATCCCTACCATCATGGAGTCAGCATCCCAGTGACTCAATTGTGGGCTTTTTCAGGTAATCTTAGTTATAAGCCTCAGACTCTTTCTCAACACCAAGTTCCCAGGTAGCCACTAGCAGTGGATCACAGTTGGCACATGAGATAAAACACATTTCCTCTACTGTTCTAAGTAAATTAACAGATCTGAAAAATATGTAGATCTTTCCATACATTTTGTAACTTAATACAAAGAATCGCATGGGTAGTTATTTTAATCTGGTCACCTATTACTAAACTTGAATAACATCAGTCTGTCAATCAATAAGACACTGTTGAGAGTTCATCGCTGTGAAGTGACATAATAGATACAAATACGTTAGAAAACATGGTCTTTATACTCAGAGAATTACTTATCTTCTATTACTAACTTATATTCTAACGTGCTCTTAATAAATAGAATTAGTTCTAATTTAATGCTTTGTTATTTCATCCTAATTTTAATTTGTTACTTAATAAACTTAATTCTCTTCCATATTGGAGAATTCAATTGTCCACCTTCCAAGATTTCAGAAACCAATGGGACAATGTTGGTGGCATAACCTCACAGGAGGGATGATTTCAACATGGTAATTTGACTACACATGTCTAGTGGGATATGCCCTAAAGACAAAAAGAACTGCAGAAAAAATATCTTAAGCTACTATTATTGATTGTTTTCTTAGTATGGTTATTTTGAAGCCGTGTATTCTTGAATGAGGTCATTGTGCAATAACGTCGGTGACACTGGAAATTGGAAATGTTGACACGAGAGAAAAGAGAAATAGATGTAAAGGGGGCAGGGGACTGTTAAGTAAAATTCTGCGAATCTGAATTTGAATTGGTAATAGTAGTAAGAAATTAAAATGTCTAAATACATTTCATCTAAATATATGTATTTCCTAGTTATGTCCACTGAGAAGGTCTAAGGACAGTGATCAAACCAAGAGCAATTAGGACTCTTATACCCAGATCATGGTCTCGAAACATGACTTCTCATTAAAAGGACCCAGCTGCCTTGGAGCACTGGGTAAGTCTAGGTCAAGGACAGGAAATGATCAGGATGAGCCTGGAATATCTGGTCAAATCAGAAAGCAAGGACCTTATCACATTCTGTAGGGGCGGTGTCAAAAGGACTTAGGAGCCAATATGAAGATGTGTCCCCTGACTAAAGGAGACAATTTGAGCTTTAATAGATTGAAACATCTCGAAGATATTTGAATGTATGGATTCATAATGGTACTTTCAAAATAAAATTTATTTGCTACTTTGGAAAAAGCTATGGACAAAAAAAAAAAACATTATTTTTAAAAATAATATTGAAGAAAAAGAGCTCAGCATCCTTTTTTGTTGTTTTGTTTTTCTCATATGAACTGTACATATGGTAACCAAATATTTTATGAGAAGTTTCTCATACAGAAATATTCCAGCTTATAAATAAAGGAGAAATGCAAGAATTGGAATACTGCAACTTTGGAACCTTTAATGAAATAATGGCCCTAAACAGTAATCATCAATTCCTCTTAGATGAATTTTAAAAATAGGAGAACTAATATATACAATAGAGGTCAGGGGAGTCTTAAGGTCTGAGAACAGGGCGGGTTAGTTTCTAGGAGGAGACGTCAGGGTGGCCCTGGAGCGGCCGTCTCAGTAACTAATGTTTTATTTTCCTGACCTCGGTGATGGTACAAGAGGGTTTTCATCTTTGTGATGATTTCTGCTTTGTGATAATTCACTGAATATACAAACTTCTCTATAAGTATGTATATTTCAATCATAAACGTTTATTTTAAAAATCGAGATTTAAGGAATGTATTCACCAATTGCAGTGTATAAACATTATTTGGGTCCTGATGCAAACAGACAAAAAAAAGACAATTGGGGGAATACAAAAACTTCCTGAATATTTGTTAACGTTAAATGATTATTTTAAATTTTCTAGGTGTAATAATGGTGCGGTGGTCATATTTTTTAAAAGTACATATTTTTGAGAGAAACAAACTAAAATATATACAGAAGAAAAATGATGTGATTAGCTCCAAAACAATCTGAAAGAGGTCATAGGAAGAAAATGTGGGTATAGATAAATAACATTGGCCTTAAGTAATAAATATTGCAGCTGACTGATGGGTAAATAAGGATTCATTATATTTTTATCTTTACTTTTTTCCTTTAGATTTTTCCTTACCTAGATATTTTTTAAAGAAAGAAATGAACACATCTTTGGTATTAATATTTAACATACTATTTTTAAAAAGAAATATTTAACACTACGTAAGATTTATTTTTAAATTGTGAAAGGCAGATTTAAATTTAATTGCAGAATGTATGATAATACCCCTGGCATGTAGAAACAGTGTTCTCATTCTGAGAGTTACTTGGCTAGATCATTTAGGACAAATGATTGTAATGAATATTCCAAAATATTCTCCCATTTCCTCCTTTGTTGACCTGCCTATGTCGACTTCCTCTTTAGCACTGACTCAGGGAGTTGATCGACACAGCACAAATAAAGTTTGGAGACACAGATGTGACTAATCCTTACCATTAGTCTTCCTTTCAACCCAAGCATTAATAGTTTGCCTTGTTTCTTCAGTAGACTGTTCAAAATCAACAGTTTGCAGCCTGGCTTGATAAAATTTCTCAGAACAGCTTAAATATTGCTGTAAAAGAAAGGAAAATTGTACAACAAAAAATAACATAAAGAAAACAAAAACCTACAGTTCGATGTATTCTAAAAATCACAACACTCAATGAAAGCAGCTCATGTGTACACATCTGAAAGGAAGCAGAATCCATATATATTTAATGAAACAAAGACATTTAAGCAGAACAAAGAGCTTTCCAAAAGGAATGTTCAGAACTCTTGGGTTGTTACTTCTGTCATATCGTGGGCGTTCTTAGTTTTAAAAGGTTCAAAAGAAAATGTCGCATTACAGGATACTGCCTACCTTTTCACTCTATCCCTACTCTTTCTTCTTTAAAGCAGACAAATGGGAGTTACCATCCTAACGTTCTAGATAGAAAAACCGAGGACCAGAGTAGGTAAGTGATTTGCTTGTTTGACGTCTAACAGAAGGTTAGGTCTCCCTGTGGTATATTTCAACCTCCTCATAAGTTGCCATCAATAAAATTAATAATAATATTCTCCGAGATGAACAATTGACTTTATGTAAACTGTGAACAAAATATCTTAAGGAATTCACTAGTTTATTCATGCATAACATGTTATCCAAGCAATTTTCAACCAAATCACCACTTCAAATTGGCCCCCATGTAGCATTCTGGAGCCACCACTGATTACTGCCCGCCGCCCTTGATTCTTAGAAATGGGAATGTTCCACTGCCTCACTGCCAAGACAGGAGCCAAATCTACATGGCCCCAAGTAAAGTGTCCCACAATTCCTTTTGTGAGACCTTGGGGACACACACCTTGAGGACCCAGTGCCCGCCATGAACATCTAGGGTAATACGAGACTTAGAAATACAGCAGGCATGAAAGTGGTTGCTTGGGGTTTGGCTTGCTATTTGCCTAACTGGGTTTTCTTATGCCTGAATCCAGGGTAGAACAAAAGGGAACTTAACTAAGAGCAAAATCTGGGCCTCAGCCTAAGTCTTGTCCTGAGCTAGGTCCAGTTGTGGCTGGAACATACTTAAGGGACTGTCCATAACCCATGAGATGAGAGTTTTTCCAGACAGAATCCTGGGATAATAATATCTTATGACACAGATCATGACGGTCTTTACGATACTAATGAAGAGCTTTTCACTCCAGAAAGTGATGCAATCATCATTATCTCAAACAATCATTCAGCTACTATGATGTCCAGCTCACTGTTTTGGAGAGACAACGGGATGAGAGAGAATGTTCCAGCTCCAAGGATCACAATTGGTAATCCCCACATCTTCCAGCTCTCTTCATAAAACATTCCCTATATGCTTCTAGGGCTGTAGAAGGAAATACCTCTGAAATATCTATAGTAGCAGGGTGGGCTACCCCGAGTTGCAAAAATACTGCCAATCGAAAACACGTCGCATGTAAGACACAGCCTGCGTCACCAGACTAAAGAAGAACGTTAGAAATTCAGGACTGCATCCTGCTTCACTCAGCTGGCATTTAAATTACACTGGTCAGGCAAAAGCTAGGTCACTGAAGCTAGCATTTCACCTCAACCACAGCAGGAAGATGTAGCAATGAAAAACAAGAAGGTGGATTTGGAGAACGACCAAATCCAGGTTTTGCCACTTAACTATCTCGGTGACTTTTGTCACTTGAGTTTTCAGAATCTGCTTTACAATTGTAGGATAAATGGTAATTTTGTACCTATATTTTAGGACTATATAAGAACAATATGAAAATGACTACAATGTATTAAGTAGAGTTTTGGCACCTAGTAAACATTCAATAAAACTATATATATTAAAATACCTATGGGAAATGGCATAAATAATGTCAGAGTTTTCTATCTAAAAACACTTAGCCTAATCTCTCATTTTAAACACTGAAGTAACTTGCCCAAAGTCATATATCTAAATGGGAACAGAACTCAGATCTCTTGTCCCCCAGTCCTGCATATTTCCCACTAACTCTTGATGGTCTGCAATTAAGGACCCTTGAAGAAGAAATGAGAAACACATTTCATATTTCTTATGGTCCACAGGGATCATTCTTACCTACTTTGTTTTGTGCTTCATCCCTGACTTTGGTCCTTGGACAACTTTGGTGATTTTTTGGAAGTAAAGTTTTTGTGTTATATTTCACAACTTTGAATGGGAGTTTGGTAAAGACATTTCACCATTTCACTGAAACTCTAACGGGTCAAATTTAATCTCTTAAAAATAAACACGATGTAACTCTTCTCACTCTTCATTCATTTTACGGCGTGAAATTCAGAGGATGCCAAGAAAGCGGTTGACCCCCGTTCCAGATAGACTTACCTGATGGAATGACATCGCCTTTGTCCCGTAGAGTCTATTGGCGATGCTGAGGGTGTAGTTAGAGTCTGGTTGAATGATTTGAGAGAACAGGACTCCAAACTCTGAGTGAATCCTTCCAGCGTGGCTGCACTGAAGCACCAGTAGACAAAGAATGGAGTATTAAATTGCTTGATTTCTTGCCATTGGAGAGTTAGAAATAACGTGAAAACAGTGACTAGAGAGCAAGGTGTTTGCCTCTGAATAAAAGGGCAGGGCATGCAGTACCAGCAAACAAGGAGTTGAAGAGTTCAAAGCATTTTCTTCTCTCATTTCCTGTAGCACAATAATCTCAGCGGTCTGGGACTCTGATTACAGATTGTATGCAGAATGGTAAGCTATTGCAAAACACACATACACCTGTCAGCCTCAGTGGTTTAATTCAAAAGCAGAAGTTTTCATAAATAGATTCTACTCCGGTATTCAGGGCGATAATCCAAGGGTTTTTTTGCTGCCTTGTACCTCTAGAATCTTCTCTATCCCACTCCTTTCAATGTCTCCATTATCTGCCACCATTTAATCGAACACTTCGGCTCATCACTGGTCTGACCTTACATACTCATCTGTCCCTCGGAGGAGCAGTCCGGTTAAGCATGCAGCATTGATGCATCTGAATTCACGAATATTATAGGGGTTATTATGCCTATATTCCCTAAAGCAAAGATTCTCAGAGCGTGGACTTTAATCTCCCAACAATAAGTCAGATTTTGTGAAGCAAGTGTTCTGTAAATCTACATGCATTTATACATTTTCTCAAGAAATAGCAATCGAACACATAACTATTTTAATGTGGGAATTCTGTATAGTTTTCACGTCAAAAGGGTTCCGCCTACTGGAAAGAACCAGGACCGGGTGGTTTGGGCAACCTCAGGCCCTGTTTTCCCAGCGTGTAATTATGTAGCAACGCCTCGGGGTCCTTTCTCAGTCCCCTCACTGGTCTGAAAAATCTAACACTGCACAGATGAGGCTGGCAAGCTCCACATGGTGCACAGTTTATAAAAGAACAAGAAAGTTTGAGTAAGGATGACAAAAGGGCCTACGATAAAATCTGGGGGACTTCATCATTGGTGGTATTATTATTATGTTAAACCGTGTGGTCTGTGGCAGTCATCAAGATGATTGAAGGAGACCTGGGGGGACATTGCCAACCCCCAACGAGAGTCGATGCAATGCAGCTCCTGAATCCTTATTTCTTATGTTTAGGAGCATCTGACAACTCAGCTGTAATGTGATCGTACCTTAGCTGAGCCCTTAAACTCCGGTTTTAATGATTCCGCAATATGATTAAAGTGAAGCACCTAGGAAGAGAGAAGAAGGATCATTTGGCATCAAAAGCAACATACAGGCTCACAGTTACAAACGCCTGTTTTTCCGTTTCAGATCAAGACCAATAGTAATAGCTAACGTTTAATGACGTTATACTCCAAGTCCTGAACTAAGCCTTTACATCTTAACCCTCCCAACAATTTTATGAGTAGATAACTACTATCCCTATTTTTTGTTAGGGAAATCGAGCCCGAGAGAGATCAAGTGACGTGCCCTGGACCATCGTCTGTCAGGATCCAGTCACTGAGGTGTCAGGCACTAGGCTGGTTTGGTGCCTCCTCCATTCTCGGGCCATTCGCCATGATGGAGCCCACCCAGGGCTGTGTAAAACATTATGTGCTTTCCCAGACCAATACCTATTTTAAATACGAGAAAATCATAAACGCGCGTCAAAATTCAGAATAAGAAAGTAGAGAACAAACAATAATGAGATGTGCAAGTATCTGGGAGTTGTTAAGTGACATTCTTCTAGGCCGTCCACGTCAACATAATACATATAAAGGGAAAATTACTGCATATCAACCTACATCTCCTGAAAAGTCATCCTGTCTCTCTTAGCCTCAGTTTCCCCATCTGTAAAATATGGATAACAATAGCTACCGGCCACGCAGGGTTGTTATGAAGTCCAAATGGACTAATGAATGTTTTTAAGAATTTGATAACTTTTAAAGTGTTACTAAGTTTTATTACAAGTTAAACTTCTAGAGGGCAAGAATAGTACCATACATGTGTTCTCCGTCATGTTTAAATGACTGAAAGAGTTAAGCGTAAAAGTAAACTGCAGAAATGTACCTGTGAAACCACTGATAGTAAGGAGGACATGGTGTATTGCATGTATTGTGCTATTTTCATTATGATGGATTGCCTTATTTAAGCCATTATCCATTTTTAAGAAATATGAGTTGCCCAAATGTGTTCTTCTTTCACAAGATGGCAGAGTTTTCTTGGCATAGAGATGTAAGTGATTTGGCTGACCCACAGTGGCCTCATGTAAAACTTCCAGGCTGCAGAGACATCCCTCACATGTTCCATACCTTTTCCACCTGCTGTGCGCTGTTCCCTCTGGCACCGAGAAGGATCATACTTAGAGCGTAAAGCAGACTCAGCGGGGAAAAGAAGATGTTATCTCCTACGTTGTTATTGTTCAGCTCTCTGAACATATCGAGGCAAAATTCAACGTTCGCTGTGCTGAGGGAATCCATTTTATGCTGAGCACTACCTGAGAACAGAAGAGAAATACATCTCAGAACAGCACTTGGAAGTACAGGTAATCTAGGGAGTTATTACACTTCCTGAATTAAAGGCCTGAGCACACTGCTTCGTGAAAACTTACATACTCATCAAAATTTCTGAGAAATTAGTAAATGCTAGATAGGGGGACTCATCGTAGTTTTAGACTCTAATGAATAGAGAAGATTGACTATTCATTTCAACCAATGGTTCAAAGCTGTCATCTGTGTGTGTTTAAAAGTGATCTGTAATTGTCCTGAAGCAAAAAGGCAGAAGTAATTAGACCTTTGTGCTCTGAATTTCCATGTTTTCAGACACTCCTCATCCTGTAATTTATACAGAAAAATTCTTGAGCTAAACAAGCTCAGCCGGATGACATAATTTCCCACTAGGCTGCCCACCTTCACAGCCTTGTAGGAGATGAACACTTCCATCTTACACAAACAAGAAAATAATCGATAAAGCAAACAAGGGTGACCTTCTCTGTTCATTTCCTGTATCCTCCATGAAAGTAAGGGAATCCTAGCAAATAGATCATGCTGTAAGAAGGTGCCCGAAGCCCTCAGCCCTCAGCCCTCGGCCACAGCCTTGACGTCAGTGAAAACAGACAACTGAAAGAAGAAAATCTCAGACAAACAATGATGACACTAGAATATGTGTCATCTATGTGGCTTGTCAGAAAGGAAGAGTTTACTTTATTCTGTCCCACACATATTTATTGAGCACCACTAACTATAGGGAGCTATAGATGCAAAAAATGATTGAGCACAGTTCTTGCCCTCACGGAGGTTCCTTTGCCCAGGAGCTTCCATTGGCATCAAACAGTGCCTTTCCTTAACTTCCAGCTCATCATTCTCCTTTGAGTCATCACCCACCTCACTGGCCACAATCTCTCAGTGTCCGTCACAGGATCTTTCCCACATTCCCAACCTCCATGCACCATGATACATCAGGATGTAAATCTTAGGCCCCTTCTCTATTTACAGGTGATCTCATCCCGCTTCAAGCTTTAAATGTCATTGATATGCTGTTAACTCCCAAATCGATTTTGCCCCTGGTTTCCAGATTCCTGTGTTTAACTGCCTACTCAACAAGTAGAGACTTGAGCATCTAATATGTACCTTGAATTCCTCTATCTTCAGAAATACTCACCATCTGCCCATTTCTCATCCTTTCAAATACCACCCTATTCAAAGCTATCGTCGTCTCTCCTGGATTTTTGAAATAGTCTCCTAAGTCATTTTCCTACTTTCGTCCTTACCCTCCTCTGTTATATTTTCCAGAGAAGATAGATAGTTTTAAAATATCAGTTAGTTCTATACTAACTGCATAAGGACTGCTTATGGCCTCGGCTCTAAAACTCTAGTGGCTTCCCTTTCTCTCAGAGCAGAAGCCAAACTCCTTTCTGTGGCCAAGGGCCTTCATGGTCTGGCCCCTGCAGCCTCTCAGACCCCTCACCTACCAGTCCCCCAAGAGCTCGCTCTGCTTCAGCCATGTCATCATCCTGCATTCCTTCAATATGCCAAGTAGGTTCCACCTCGGGGCCTTTGCACTTTCTTAACCCTCTTCGAGATGCTCTTCCCAAAGACATCCAAATGGCTCGCTCCAGCAGTTCATTCACCTCTTTGCTCAGATAGCGTCTCATCAATAAGGTTTTCAGTGACCACTTCACTTGAAATATCAGCCCATATCCCTCCAGCTTTCCTTCATTCCATTACCATAGTTTATATATTATATATACATATACATGTTTTTATATCAATGTAAATAAATGTATATTTACTTATTTGTCCTATGTATTACATATAAATATTTTACTTATTTGCCTTACATGTTATATATACATGTATTTATATAAATATAAATAAATAATTTTTATGTTTATTATAATGTATGCTATATATTATACATATATTTATTGTCTGATCCCCCTCCTTCTAGAGTACGACCTCCATTAAAGCAAGGACTTTGTTATTTATGCTTTGTTCCAGCATCTAGACCAACCCGGCCACTCACTAAACTTCTGTGGAAGGAAGAAATAAAGGACGAAATGTCATTCGAATCAGCACTATGATACACAGGTGTGCTCAGAATGCTGCGGAAGCACAGAAGGGAGGCCCGGAGCCAACCTGAGAGTTACAGAAAGACTTCCTGGAGGAGGTGATGCTCCTGCTGCTCCTTGAAGAATGAAATGAGTCATCCAGGGATGTGCATGTAGAAAGATCATTACTGAGAGAAGGAATAGCATAAGCAGAGACTCAGAAACCTGAAAGAGAAATGTTATATTACAAGAGCGTGAAATAGGGGGCTAAAAGTGGTGGGCGGGGTGGGGGGGTTGCTGCAGTGAGGCAGAATTATGTCCTTGGAAGCTCTTTGCCTGCCCTGTTGAGGAGAAATCAGAGACAACTGTAGATAGCTCATGACGAAGTTGGGTCTCCGTGCCATCTACATTTTTAAGATTCATCCATGTGACTCTGGGAACATAATCTGTTATTTCTAAGTAACATGCTTTTGTGCTTCCATCCCATTTTCCCTATCCACTCCTCAGGGACAGACTCTCAACTGTCCTCCTAACTCTACACCATCACAAACAGTGCTGTAGTGAATAGCCTCATATGCGCCCCCTTAAATACCTATGTAAGAATTTCTTTGTAAAGGAAATGGCTGAATCATGTATGTGGCAAACACTGCATATACATTACTCAGAATGCAAGTCTTGCCAGATGGATAATGCTCCCCCAGGTTTGCAAATGAGGCAGCGCGAGTTTGGGAATGAGGAGGAGCCATGATGTGAACACAGGTCCATCTCTTCCAAAGCCTACGCCTTTTTCACTGGCCACCACACACGATTTAGATAAGGCTTTATATGAGATAAAATGATTTTATTTTTGTTGTGCTATGTTTATTATCTCTATGTTATAACAATAACATCTTATCAGAAAAGTTAAAAAGTTTATCCAAGATGTAAAACATTAAGAGGCTTGGTTCCCTCAAAACTTATGATCTAGCAATTCCATTTCTGGGTATTTATTCGAAGAAATCCGAAACAATGATTCAAAAAGATGTATTCATCCCTATGTTCATTGCAGGGTTATTTACATTAGCTAAGATATGGAATCAGCTTAAGTGCCCATCAGTAGATGATTGGATAAAGCAGATGTGGTACATGTATACAATGGAATATTACTCAGCCATAAAAAAGAGTGAAATGATACCATTTGTGGCAACATCGATGGACCTAGAGGATATTATGCTAAGTGAAATAAGACAGAGAAAGACAAATACCGTGTGATTTCTATTATACATGGAATCTAAAGAACAAAATAAATGAACAAACGAAAAAAGAAACAGACTCATAGATACAGGGAACAAACTGGTAGCTGCAAGATGAGCGGGAGGCTGAGGGGCTTGGTGAAAAGGAGTACAAATTGGTAGTTACAAAATAGTCACGGGATGTAAAGTACGGCATAAGGAATATAGTCAATAATATTGTAATAACTATGTATAGTGCCAGGTGGGTACTAGACTTACTGAGGGCATCACTTTATAAATTATATAAATGTCTAACCACTGTGCTCTACACCTAAAACTAATGTAAAATAATATTTAATGTCAACTAAAATTTTTAAAAATTTTTAAGTTCAAAAGTTTTAAAAATAAAAATTAAACAACGACGGAGGGAAAAATTATTAACAAGCTTAATATGACAGTTAATGGTTAACAAATATGGTATTATTTGCCTCACTTTACAGTAAGATCTCATAGTTCTTTGAGTATTTATTTCACAGTACCAAGAAAGAAAACTTTAAGTTCAGGGTTTTCTTAAAAATTTTGCAGAATATATAATTAGAATTAATTTATGTACTTTGGTATTTGTCATGTTCATTTGCAAGACAGAGTTTTAACCATCATTTCCCTAACACTTAAGATTTCTACTTTCTCCATTTGTTTTCCAAAATTCTACCTTTCTTACTGTTAGCAAAGTTCCTTCACAATGGTGTCTGCATTAATCTTATATTCAACTGACCTTAATGGACAGTTTCCACTCTGTCCGAGTCATCGCCTTTGTGTACACGCAAGTACATGCGGATGAATTTACAGATTCTTGTTTATGAAATTGCAGATGAGGCAGTGACAGCTTGGGAATGAGCAGGGACACACTTAACAGTCCTCGAGAAGAGGGAAAATTTACACTGTGAAATTATTAATGTCTTAAATAACCACCTAGCAATCGATACGTGTTAAAGAAATTGACAATTTCTGGTCGAATTGATGTCACCCAGTCAGTTTTAAGGAAAAAGAACCCATAGAAGACAGACGTCCCGAGGCACATAAACCGCCACCAAAGACACATGGACCCCAGAGAAGGCTCCACCCAGGCGGTGAGGAAGTGGCCCTAGAAGTAGAAGAACTTCAAAGCGAGCCCCAGTGAAGGAAAGAATTGCAGAAATTCCTTTAGTGGACCTTCTTGTCTGCTTTCAGCGTGAGAAAAATCCCTCTGAAGCAGAAGGGATTTGTCATTTGGGAGCCGTCATGGGAGAAAAAGAAATAGAAGGGTGCCCAAGGCTATAGCCTTTCTAGACTGGGAAAGGGGGTTACTATTCAGGAAATGTGAGGAGAGAAACTGTCCTGGGAGGGAATATTGACACTGAAGGATGACGAGAGGACAGAGGGTCTGGTCTGTCCTTTGTGGGGAAATAATCCCTAAGGGCGGGTAAGACACCAAGTTCTTACTCATTTCACGAGACCCTTTTCTCATGACTTAATTTTACTAGTGCCTGCCGCCCTTCCCTAAGCCAAAGCTGTTCTTCCACCCTCACTCTCCAACCTCCGACTTTGTAAACTTCCTAGAAGTAGCAGGAACTTCGGAACGGTGATCCATCACACGAACGTAAATCACGAGACTTCACAGCCTCTTACAGAACACGCGTATTACTTAAGAGACCGATATTAAGCCATAAGAAGAAACTGAGGCCCAGGAGAATAAAGGTTAT